AAAAATCATGAAAACCCGATATATTAATTGGAAACAGATTTCCCAGCACGGTCGTGGTTATGTTCATTGTATGAACGAGTAATTCTGTAATTGACCACTCTGTAAACTTCAAATATCCAGTACAACTCTGCTTCCTCCCTTACAAGAAAGCCTGAGAGAGATTAATTCTGTTATCCTGTATCGGTTTGATGATACATCAATACACACAGGCTTACTTCCTGGAGAATGGTCTATTGGAGCCTCTCCCGAAATCTCTGCTCCCGTCATTGCGCCACGATCGCTCGACTCGTTTTAATTCATTTAATATGGTCTTCGAAGGTTTCAAAGAGAAGTGATCTTAACAATCCCATGCTACATCGTTTTTAAAACAGGCTTTTAATACCTTTGAAGTTTCCTGTTCAAATCATCGTGAACACTGCGGTGAGTGTCATGGTTTCAGGGAAGGTGTATGTGTGGGAGGTGTTACAATAGTCATTGTTTACTATCTGTCAATTATGTTATGCAGTCAGCTCTAGCTCTGAATCCTCTCGTATTACTGTTTTTTGTGCTCTTGGACCATTCTGTGTGTCCTGTTTAGAGAACAGCACGCTTAAAACATGGTGGCAGCGGTTAATTAAAACCCAACTTCGGATGTGAATAGAAACGCCTGATAGCGACAAAATCACATCGAAATGCCTGGTGGTGACTTTACGACGAGTGCAAGTCAAGCGACACCACTCCCGGGAATGGTATCTGCAGCCAGCAAATGTGGCTGTAAAATCGACGACAAAACTCAATCTTCGAGAAAACGCATCGGAGAATTGGAAAACGCACAAGCAACAGTGGCAAAACTACGCGATTGTAGCAAACCTGGCCGCACAGCCTGAAGAATATAGTCGGATAGAAAAGGCAATAATAAAGTTAGCAAATGCAAGTCGAAGAAATATTTATTTGGGAATAAAACGAAAGAAAGCGTCACGCTCGATTGCGCCAATTTCGCTACTCGAGGACTATTACTAATAGTTCTCTAGCAGCGTAGCCAATTAAAATGCAGGATTTGCATTAGTCTACTAGTTGGGTGATACTAATTTTTATTTCCTTTGTAAACTAGTGCGTTATTATCTCCCAGGAACCAGGGTTTTTTATCATTTCTCTTATAGCAGTAGTTATTAGTGATTTATTAGTTAGGTAGTTAGTTTAATTTAATTTAATATTGTTCAGTCCTGAAGGAAATACCGTGTCTAAATAAAGATTTTACCCTTTTACCTTACCTTTTAGATGATACCCAAACAAAAGCTCTTGGCATTCCTGATCCCTTGACTGACAGCGGTAGGCTACAGACTTCCGCTCTCTTAGCCTCAGGATTCAGAACGTTAGGCCGCAAAGACACAATGGCTAGGTTATTACAGAGTCCCCTGAGAACATTTTGTAATCCTTTCACCCAAGGAACTGACGTCGGATACACAAATTGTTCCCCAGGTAAGCTAAAATGTCTACATTGCAGCCCGGCGGTTTTCAATTCAACTATATGGAATGTAAAATGATATTAATTGTTCATATTTGTTAGCCTTCTCCCTTTATGATAACTAGACCAATACCTCCCTTTGGGAAGTAAATTCAGTGAGTGTTCATATCACGCTTTATTTATTTATCAAAGCTAGGACCTTATTTAGAGTCCTTCAGGCTAGAAACTAATAAGGTTTGATACAATAATTTACATACTTACCACATTTCTATTTGCTTGTATTTATTTTTAGTGTATATATTAAGTGCATGCATGTTGAGTATAGAAGGGGGTTAGATCGCAATTGGGACGCTAGTTTTTTTTTTTTTCCTCTATCACATCCCGTACTTTTTTCTGAATTTGTTTACCTATTTGAAGCGAGTTGTTTGTCTAACTGAGTTCTTTTGTTCTCGTAATGTACAACGGCTCGCTTCCAGCTGCAAATTTTAACATTTCAGGCACCTACTAGAAGACGCGGACTAGAGCGAAAAAAATCCATCGCAGAAGGGGTGGAATGTTCTACTCAGTGATACTTCGAATGTGAATATGTATCCTTTTACACTTGTAAGAATGTACTGTATTATTTTATAGTTTGTTAATGTTTCAGCCGTGTGAAATTCAATTAGAATTGGTAATCAACATGAAGGAAGCCACTTGTAGATTCGACGCGATAATTTCAACTGTCTAGCTACATTAATATAAAGCCTATCATAAAGAATATTTAAAGCTACAATGAATAATTTCGAGTACCAAAGAGACATTTTTTGGCTGCCAAGACTTTATCGATTGTATGCGACAGCCACCATCAACACGAGCTGTGACCTTTGCACTTTTGTTGCAAACAGTGTGGTATATAAGCTCTAATAAANATACCTTTTTTGGCTGCTAAGACTTTATCGATTGTATGCGATAGGCCACCATCAACACGAGCTGTGACCTTTGCACTTTTGTTGCAAACAGTGTGGTATATAAGCTCTAATAAAACTTCTTCTCGTGTCCAACACAGCCTGGAATGATACCCGAAATCCAAGACGGTGGACCATTTTAGCACAACATAACTTCATGCTTAACACGTGACCCCCTCTAGAATAACTGCTGTGCGATATTTTCCCCACATTTCAAGATTCATCGGCTCTCACACTATTCATGCGTTGCAGACCTATTTTGCTCTTCGTTTGTCACCGTAAAACTTAACGTACCGTTCATGCATCTTTTAATAATCCATCAAATATTTTGCTCGCAAGAGATTGGTCTAAACGCGTGACGTGACTGAATATGCGCCAGCTAAAACTGAGGAACACCGAGTGATATTCTCCGTTTTTCAAAAGGTCCCATGTGTTTGGAAAAATATTCGAAGGATAATTAAGTCCCCGATTATAGCTTCTGCCACCACTCGACTTTAAAAATATGCTCGGATATTTGTCCTTGGACGTTATCTGTTCCTCAAGGCTCACAGTTTTCCTCCAGCTTCGCTCTCGGAAAGCTGTTCGCTTTTTGGAACAGATAATATTTTTGCGACAAATGGAGAAAATTGTTTATATACCATATTGATACCATTTCAGTTTTTCTTTTGGCTAGGCAATCGAGAAGCAAATAGGCTTGGGAAATGAGCGTATGTAGAAGTGATGGCTCTCTGACTGGCTCTGACAATGAAGAATCAACTGAATTGTTTGGCGCTCGGCCGAAGAAAGTTTTAAAGCTTTAGCTTATTTCTAAACATAGCAACACGGAGAGAACGTTGATACAAATTTTAACTAAAATATGCTCTAACAAGGACATCCACCATATTTCTCTTGTAAACAATACGATAACAATAACAATAAAAAATTATCATCACCTAGTTTTCATGATTTCAAGCCGCCACTGGTTTCCGATAAGATCAAATCGTAACTAAATAACGTGAACTGTTCGATGTGCTTCCCTTAAAGAAATATCGACTGCTTTTGGAAAACATAATTTATGTTTCATCTTCTTAGTTGCTGTCGTTAATAAATCGGGAACGTGCGGGATAACTGGAGCATAAACAGCAGTTTACTCCACGCTCATAGGCTGTAAGCTAAACAAGTTATTTAGTAACATTATTTGACCTAAGGAATCTTTGAGTGACTGAACATTTGGCTATTAAGTTAAGCCCGCGTTATCTGAGGTTTTTGGTGGACCTTCTTTTCTTGCAAAATTGCACATAACTATACAAGGAATACAATACTTCATTAACGAATGGTTTTTCAATTAAATTCAGTTTGGTACAACAATGTAATAAGCAAGGTGTTGTTTTGGGAAGACTCAATGGATTAGAGAAAAAAAAAAACATATTTTTTGCTAATGTAGGAAAGTCATTATACAAGTCAAACGAAAAGCGAGCTTTTCTCAGTATTAGTCCCATGACTTTCGTTTCCTAAAACTTAGTTTGACATAACAATACAATAAGGCGTTGTTTTGGGAGGAATCGATGAGGCAGAAAAAACAAAACATATATATTAACTTTTTTTTTTTCTAATGTAGGAAAGTCACTATGTAAGTCAAATGAAAAAGCAAGCTTTTCTCAGCAATGGTCCGACAACTTTCGTTTCCTAAAAAATCTTGTTCAAATTAAACCTTACGTATATTTTTCTTTTTGAACAAACTTGTGAGTTTGCCGATTACATTTACAATTGGCCCTCACGGGCGAAATGGCATTGCATCAACAGCCGAAAGCGACGCTTAAATAATTGAACTTTTTTTTCCGGAAGATAGCTATAGCAGTAGGCGTAGCGTACTTTCTTTTTTTCCTTTTCGTATAGAACAACAGGAAGAGTATGCATTACTTATTGTATAAATAAAAACGTTTCTATATTTATAGTAATTATGGTTGGGTTGTTTTTGTAACCGAGATATAAACGCTGCTATTAATTACGAGTGTTTAGAAAACAACTACAAGGTGAATATATTTCATTCACGTTAAATTGCTAATAGTTTCGATATAATTTCAATCTTGTTTACATGTCCTTACTTATTGTATAATTATTTTTAAAATGCATCCTTGCCTAGCGGATCAGTTAGCGGTGAATGGACCATAAAGAACCGGCTTTTCCTAGTTTTGAGACATGAATGTACCCAAGAGCAGACTAAGTTCAGTCAGCGAGTTAATATTTTAAACGTGAGATAAATCTGGCTGTTAAACTATGTTGTGTAGCGGTATTATATTCCGAATATAATTCTTAAGCGATTGTTTCTGAATCACGTACGTCGGTACACTGACGATGGTGGTTTATTTCGTATCTTCTATTATAGGTCCATATCCTTTATTTTGACACTGAATTTTCAATCCATACTTACTACTGACATCGTGTAACGGTTGTTATATCTTGGGCTATTTCTACAAGAAAATCGCCAGAATTAGAGAAAGTAAATCCTAAAATGTTTATTGAGTTCTTATTTCCTTTCAGTGACCGCAATCCTTCGTTATAGGTTTTCCTAGCGTCAAGCCATTAAAAATTAAAACGTAGTGCTGTATTCTCTTAAAACCTCAGGCAATTCTAAGCTCGGTTAACAATAGAGAATTCTTGATGTTTCATTTCAGGATGCTTCGGGCAATGATTCTAGCCTTCAAAGAGATACTTTTTAATCTTGCCAAGGGAATGTCGTGACTTGGTCTTCTCAAAGAGGTTCGCGTTTTTTGACAAAGTTAAAAAGCTGCTGTTCACGGTTTTACAGTGCTCGATCTCGTCGCGAGAAAAAGACAGGTTTTCGCCTGTATTTTCAAAAATGGCTGATCACAGTCACGTCGGAAATGGCATTAATGTGGATAAATCGCTGGTGAAAGCCGCAGAAATTTCGCGAGTGGTAATCACCGTCCAAGGCGCTCAAGAAATGTTGCAGGAAACGACGCGAGGAGTTCCTGCTCTGGGAGATTCTACTTACAGAAAAGGACAGCTTCGACAAGCGCCCTCTTATCTGCTGGGCAAACCTCTGCACGATTTCGACGCTACAGCCGGGAACGGAGTAAGTAGGCTCATAAACCCTTGCTATCCGCACTAATGCGTGGTTAAATTTATTCATCAGTGATGATCGCTTTTATCAAGAGAGGGGAACCGATATGTCCTAAACATTTGCATAAATAAAGCAGCTTGTAGCGAATTTTGAACGGATTTGGTTCCATTTTGAAAATCACTAATGTTCTGATTCGAATTCCTAGTATTTTATTTCGGCGTTTAGCTAACGGTTGTAAAGCCTTCAATCTTTATCAAGTAATTAAAACTGTTCTAGAAGCATTTCATAGCAAAACCGAGTTACATTCACTGTCAACTGTTTTTTTCTCATCGGAGGAACAGCCTTCAGGGAACTTGTCTTCAACGCGCAGTTACAACACTACAAAGGAGAATATGTCTTTCCCGTAAATACTTCCACGAAGGAATTAGAGACTACAGTTCAAGTAGACTGTACCGGCTACCTGTATTTGATATTAAAACACCTTTTCAAAGCATCTCTATCAACATCGTACACGTTGCTTCGTAACTTTGCACAATTTGAGTTCTAGTATGTTGGGAACAAACAATTAAATCGAAAATGGTTTGCTTGCGGAATGAAATGTAAGGGTTACGCAATTACGCGGTATAGTTTTTTTTTTAACATTGTTTTACTACCAAAAACTGCATTTTCGTCACATTTTTTCAATTAGCCAGTAATGACCGAAAATTGTCAGTTTTGTGTGGCAAAGTTTTTTTATTTATTTGATAACTGGAAGAACTCAAAGTATTTATTTGTAAATAAGTCACTCGAGACTCTGGAAATTTCTTCATTCGCCATAAATTGCCAGAGTCTTTGCAAGTCTGAGCAAGTCAGGCAAACTCTTCACCGTTAGTAATGGTTTTAATTGAGATAAATCAGCTTACATTACTTTTGGTTGCATCAAAATGAGTACGTGTGCGCAGAAGGCAGCTTAAAAAGCTTGAAATAAGCAGTAAAAAGGTGAAAAGACCGTTTCTAAAGAACTGTTTCTACGTTTTCTAAATGTAATCCATGCTTTACTCAAAGTCGATCTTGAATAAATAAAACTAAATTGGCCCTTCAAAACTCTTTCTTGGAGAATATCCCACTCCCTTACAGAGTGCCAGAAGTTTCTTTTCCTATCCGTCCCGCTCATGAATTTCCCGTGTTTATATATATATATCCCAACAAGATCCCTAATTAATGAGGTTCGTTGTTCGTCTTAATTACTTTAATGTCAGTTTGGCACTGTTGGACTCGTGCATGTTTGAGAGAATTTTCAAGTATTACTCGCGGTGTAAATACGTAATTGCATTCCCATTCATGCGATTACCTATACTGATTACTTAATTTATTGAGCGGGAATAGTTCAAGGCTATTTCATTATTTTATTCGATAGATCGACTGTTTACATTAACCCTTTTTTTACCGGATAAATGAAATAAAATGAGGCAGTGACACACACAAGCTATCCTATTTGTTGTCTACCGCCTACTGGATAAACTCAAAGAAATTAATGTAGCAAGTACTTAAGAAACGTCGTTATTAACCACTGCAGATTAAATGCTTTCAATTAATAAATGTCTTAATTAGAAAGCTTTTACCTCAAGCTATTTAATGACTGAATATTGTCATCCGTCGGTGTTTTAATTAAAGAAAGAAACGTGTTCAACGGGTACTTCCTGCCGTGAGTAAGCTGTAACAATTGACTCTGGAACCTTCTCCGTATACATCTTTTTTCTAGGCTTGATATTTTTGTTTTTCTGCTAACTTATGACTGAAATTATTCCTGTGTACATTCTTAGATTACAGAGTAAAATGCATGAATTTCGGGCCTCGTGCTGTTCCCACTCCGTCGGAGAAATTTGAAAACGCAGCTTTATTTATACAGTTAAGCCTACTGTCCGCACTAATCTGCCAGCAAAACCGACCTTTTCGAAAACGCTATTCAAACCAGAGACCTTGCGTTTTAGTGTGGATGAAAAACATTTTAAAAACTGAGCTTTTCGAAAACGATGACGTCACGATAATCATGTGATTTCCCCGCCGAGTTTTCCTCAAACACGAATTAAAACAAAAATTGTTGCGTTTTCAAAAAATAAAATATTTGGTGCGTTTTCAGAGTGAAAACGTCGTTTTCCAGTTTCTTTCGCGCAGTGTGACTGGGGCCTCAGTTTAATATAAAAGGAGCATGACCAGAAATTGAACTCTCAAGTGTCTATATCGTGTCTGTATCATGCTACATTACGCACGTGCTTCATCACTTTACCTTACGCGTAAATTGTTTTTTTTTATCGTTTTGTGATTAATCGTTTTGCTAGCTAGTTTTGTTAGGAAAAGGAAAGAATTCACCAAAGAATATCTAATGGTAAAATAAAAGTGCATTCACAAACATTATGTAATTTTAGTGTATATAGGTTATTTCACACGGGATATTATTACAAAGGATTCTTATAAAATAAAAATAGTGCAGTGGTGTACTACAAGAGATCTGAAAAGAGTTCCTTTCAAAATGATCTGAACTTTATTCATGTTTGTACTTATCTTTTAAAGCTGTTTTCAGTTTCAAGAGAAGGCAAAAAGTTAACAAGTTATACAAACTGGAAAACGGTTTTTCAAAATCATCGTAAAGAAGGCATGCTTCGACAAAAGTGGCGCGGGTTCAAATTCTGGACCCTGCGCCATAAGTAGGTCGATTTAGTTGTTGCTTTGATCCTTGTTTCGAGGGTATTTCTCCGGGTTCTTCGTTATTTATCCCTTCACAAAAACCAACATTCTAAATTTCAATTCTTCTTGGATACACTTCATTTTTGTGCGTAAGTGAATTGCATCTTACATCATTTTTTTTTTACTGATATTTGGTTGAAAATTATCTCCTTCTCTAGAAATCCTGCATGCCTATTTAGGGCCTCATTAGCTTAAAAAGTGTTGCAGAGATATAATTTAAAGGAATTGAAAAGCCGGGAAAGATAACTGACGTTCTCAAAATTCAAAACAACGTTGTGGTTGTTTCTCCCTGCAGAAGCCAGCCAAGCCCTCTAAGGAGACATTTCTGGTCCTCAGCCGCAGGTCCAAGTTATCACACGACCAGGCCTACAGATTCAACATGTCCCGATCGTTATTCCTGCTCGAGCCGCTTCACCCGCTCAGACTGTTCGCTATCAGGATCATCACACACCAGTATCCTCAGTATTCACTTCTGCTAATTGCTAAATAACCTCAAGCCGTGAGACTTTGATGGCTCAATACCATCTCTGTAATCGTTGAGAATATTAATATCAAATGAATAGCTAATCACTAATTAACAATTCATTACTATTTTCTTGACATAGTCTGAGGGTACGATCGAAACAAAATAATGTGCTAAATTAAACATCCTTAATTTCAGCTTCAAATGCTGTAAATCTAAAGAGCGAGATCAGTGACTCCAATCTTTTTTTTTTTTTTTTAATATTTCTTAACTTTTTTAGGGATGGTTAAAAAAGATTTTTGGCTCCCTATGTAAAAGGCCAGATGTATGGGTTATTGACCAAGTGTGAGGTCAAGATGGCTGGATATTGGCCAAGTTTTTTTCTTGCGAGTTTATGGACCGAGTCGGAGTCGAGGTCCATAAACTCGCAAAAAAAGAACGAGGCCAATATCCAGCCATCTTGACCGAACAAGCTNTTGCCCGCTCACGGAGCTAGCCATATAATAAAGCTTCATCTTGCCCGCTCGGGTAGCCAATCACAGCGCAGGATTTGATTCATCTTGCCCGCTCACGGAGCTAGCCATATAATAAAGCTTCATCTTGCCCGCTCGGGTAGCCAATCACAGCGCAGGATTTGTTTCATCTTGCCCGCTCGCGGAGCTAGCCATATAATAAGGCTACTTTCTTGTCAGTTCAGATGAATGCGTCATCGCTATTTGAAATAACTCTTTGTAGAGATATTTACTTTACCATTAAACCTTTACTTTCTTTTCCGTTAGAAGATAGATCAATAGAGCGTTTTCACATCGGCTCTCGCGGGAGTCATTTTGGTGTTCCAAAACAATGAAACGGCCGCCATGTTGGTGTACCAAACCAATCCTGTGGGAGTTGAACTCTTTTCTTATGTAAGCACGTTCTTTGGTTCCAATAAATTTGCATATGTGCTGGCCACGTGTGTGAAAACGCTCTATTTTGAATTGAATGAGAAGTAGTGGTAACACTGTTGAGGATTAAAACTACAGCAAGTCTTCTTTAATATTCTCTCACTAGATATTTCGAGTTTTTTGTTATTTTTATCATCCTAGTAAATTGCATTTGTCTAGCCTTGAACCATCCACCAGAGGAAGCCGAGTGAGTACTGGTAGCAAACATCGTTTGTAAACAAACAGAGTTGCAGTAAGCGACAGTTAGTAGTCAGAGATCATGACTAGTTTAACAAATCAGATCTTCAAGGGGATTTCCAGTGAATCTAATACAAAATGGACTAACTCTCCGAGTGAATGAAGTGCAAATTTGCAAATGGACACCAAGAATACTGTGTGTTTTATGATCTAAAACGAGTAAATGCTCGTTTGTCTTTTTGAGTATACTAGTAATCAGATTGAACACATCTTATTCCAATATGACGGCCAATATATTATTCTTTTGTTTGCATGTTAATTAGCCCTCTCTGCCTCATTTTCAGTTCAAAATTCTTTTGTATTTTGTACATGATGACGAGGCAAAGAGGACTAATTACCATGTAAACAAAAGAATAATAAACCAGCTGCCATTTTGGAATAAGGTGTAAACTATGGGCGCTTTCCTTTCGACCAAAAATTCCGGTGTGAATTTCCGGAGATTTCCATGGGCGAATGGTACAGACTTTGCCAGTGTGGAAAATGACAAGCCGCACAGTTTTGTTCGCTTGGAATTTTTCAATGACTTCGAGAACACTGATAAGTCGACGTCGTGACATTTTATAGACCACAACAGCAGGGACCTTAACAAACCACAACGGTAGCGAAAACGCAGCGTAACAAAGGGTTTAATGAGTCGAACAATTGTTTTGCACGCGTTATAAATCTTTGTACACTTCCTAGCCAACCTACGCAAAACAAACAAGTACACCACGGGGACATTATTTTTAGAAAACGCTTTCTTCACGAATTCAACTGTAGCTAGTATTTATCGAGATAAAAGTGGAAGGATTCTAAAGTATTTCCATCTCCGAATGCGCGTCGCAATATGTTCAACTCGCTGTTATCGCGGCCAAAAGAACTAGCGCTGAATAGGAAAACTGTGAATTTGCATAATTTCCGAAAAAGAGGACAACCTCGTGAGCTATACCCAAATTTGCGAACATTTCTTCCTGGAAATTTCTGTTCCATTTGATTTTCATCCCGGAATTTCCGGAACTTTCGGTTGAATGGTTCGCTTTTCGGAAATTCAACAATTTCCGGATTTTCTGGAAGTTATCCCAGGAAATTTCCGTACCATTTGTCCCAGTTTCGAAAATTTCGAAATTTTTGGTCGAATGGAAAGCGCCCTATAACCGAGTAAGTTTCCAGATCGGGCGAGTTTCTAACTTCTATAGGTAAAACGAAATGTGAGTAAAACAATATTAGGCATTTGAGAGGTTTTCTCGCGTCCTCCTTCCCCCATGGGGACTGGATCTGGTGACGTTAATGCCTTGAAAGCAAGCTGTTAAGAAAATTAACGGTGTGAATTGTTGTATTTCAGATACATTTTCGCGTTTATTTACACGTCTGAGATGCTTCTCAAGATCATTGCCCGTGGCTTCGTTCTTCATTCGTATGCGTACCTCAGGAATCCCTGGAACTGCTTGGATATTACAGTGGTTATACTAGGGTAAACTGCTCAAGTCACTTAACTGCTCACTACAATCATTATTGTTTTAGTTTGCAAAGGCTAAAGGTTTTTGCTTTTGCGACTAAATCTCAGAAGACTTCAATATATTCATTGAACATTTGACAAAATCCTTTTAACAACATTCAGGAAACAGTTTTTTTTTTGGTTCATATCAATGTGGTTTTATTTTGTTTATTTCTGGTAATCACACATGTTTCCTAAATCTAAAGGTACAGTGGTGTGGCGGCTGGGTTCGAGCCCTAGTCTTTGTCTTGCTGCTTTTGGTAAAGACAATTGGCTCTCACGGTACTTCTCTCCACCCATGCATGAGTAAAAATGAGTATCCCAGCGGGGGTGTGGAGAAGGACGGGGAAATGGTACATAAATCATAAGCAAAAACGATAGTGACAACAGGTACTCTCTTTACTTGGAGAGTAAAGATGTATTTGAGATAACGTCTTGATTTGCTTAATTCCGCGTTAAAATCAAATAAACAGTCTAAAGAACCCCAAAAAGAAAATAAATATTGTTTGATTTATTTCTAGGTACGTGACACTTTCGCCAAATATCGCGAACTTCTCTGGAATAAGAACTGTTCGCGTTTTGAGAGCTTTACGAACAATATCTGTTCTAAAAGGTACGCCACTGCTCAAATAATCTTGATCAGGTTAGAACTAATTATGGTAAATTCAACCTACATTTCTGTGGTCCTTCTATCTGGAACAATTTGGATGAAGAGCTGAAAAGTTTATCTCTGCGTTTATTTAAACAAACCTTGACTAAGCAATTTCTAAGTTCTTATGCTTAATGCCGGCTTAGTATTTTTTCTTTAAGTTATTATCGCTCTTAACTGACAATGCTCTGTCTATAACTGGTACTGTTACTATTTATATTTCTTTTTATATTTATATCTACATATATATTTTTCTCTTTCTACCTCTTTTTTTCTTTATTTTACCTACAACCGATTTAAAGCGTAATAATTTTTGTAACTACTCAGCTCGTTTAGTTTCTACTATTTTGAGTAGTTTGTTTTGCTTATTTAAGTTTAATGTTTTCTTTTGCTGTATAATATTCTCTGTATTATGCAAAATAAAATGGTTGTTGTTTTTGTTACGATCTTGCCAACATCTCATGTCTCTGAATTGGACTGTGAGAGGTAACATGCATCATCGGCAGAAAGTATGACGTCACACGGTGTGTACCAAAGGAACTAACCAACTCACCGACGAACAGACTGACAAATTGACTGACTGAATGACTGACTAACTAGTTAACAAAGGTATTCGCATTTGCTTTTGTTCTACAAGACTACGCTTAGTAATTGATCGGTTTAAAAAACTTATGCCACTTTCTCAAGCAATAAGGATAAATCAAAACCAGTGGACCTTTTCGGCGATATACGGTGGTCATTTTAAATTCTATTGTTTCAAATAGCTATTATGGGATCCTTAGGGAGCAAATGTATACTAATCTGCCCCCCTGAGCATCCCATAATAGCTACTTGAAACAATAGAATTCAAAATGGCTACCGTATCGCCGAAAAGGTCTATTGGAATTTGCTCGCACACGTTTAAAGTACCGCGCCAGCTTTATTTATCAACTTTGAGTTTTCAATGGTTTACTGGATCGCTGTGTCTTTTTTGATTGGCCAAAGTGATAACGTGGGGTCTGGTCTTACCACACTCATTTGAAAGGCGCCCTAACTGGGTAATTTATTTTCTTGTTTAGGTTTGAAGGCGATGGTGAACACGCTACTCCGTTCAATGAAGATGCTGAGTGATGTTCTCATTCTATTCGTGTTCTTCCTTGCTGTAATGGCGCTTATTGGGCTACAGTTATTCCTGGGCCATCTCAGATACAAATGTGTGTACAACGACGATTCCTTCAGCATCTCAGACAGGGCAAATAACGCAAGTATGTCCCTAATTTAACTCTGTAAGGGATACTCCAGGGACAGCGTCTACATTTTATGACTGCTTGTTTCATCTGACTAACGAACTTGAAAATCTCCGAAGGCCTAATAATTCTCACTAATAAGACCATTTTATAATTTTGTCGATTGAAGGTACCTAGCTAATCATCTTCCAATATCATTGAATCTTATCCAGGTATGTGGTTTTATGAAGAGGGGAATCCTGTTATTTGTGGGAACGGCACATCCGCAAGGTAAGACATCTCATTCGTCAATTGTCCTTCTGCTGGCACGCTCAGCTAAAAATGACCTGCGACAACTTTATACGAGTAAAGGTGTCCGTAAATCTCTTACGTCAGAATATTACAATTCCCTGATGAATGAGAAAAATCGTTAATGCAAACAAAGAACCCATTTCAATACCATGTGGTTTGTGACCACTTTCCTTTGCATTATCTACTTGTGCAATCATTAGCGACTAGTCTTCGAAGCGCACCATCTCAAGTTTGACTATCAATCACATGAAATAAGGGTGAATAGACTTGATGTAGTTCTCGGGGGTACCCTACAAAGTTCTTTACGGGAAGGCTACTCCCCGAGGTCCAACCCCTTACTCTTTTGTGAAATCTCTACCCTTTTATATACCTGAGGCCTGAAAACGTTACCCCTTTCGGGCGGAACTTCCCCGTATTGGTCATTGACCCGGGGAGGGAGGCTGTAGTGTAGGCCACCTTCTATTGATCAATTTTACAAACCGGCCGGCTTTGGGAGCAGCTTCACGACTGTACCAAGGTTCAGTAACCGTCTTTAACCCCATTTCAAGTATTCTTTAACTTATGGCAACATCTCAGCTACATATGCGATTCTTCTCAGGACGTGTCCAGTAAACTACACGTGTTTGCCAGATGCTGGCCCCAATCCTGATTTCGGTTACACGAATTTTGATCATATGGGATGGTCTCTTGTGATGTCATTTCAGCTTCTTACCATGGACTTCTGGGAAAATATCTATAACAAGGTAGACATGATTGACACGGTTGTTTGAGTTTGAGCTCATAGTTCATTTAGTGTTGAAATCATTATCGGGAAAAGATAACTGAGCGGGTTGCAAACATTTAGCATAATCATGTCAAGGCGTGAAAAAGTGTAATGCTAGGTGAAGTCCAGACTGTTGTCCAGGAAAGAGACACAGAGTTAAAATATCGAAGGAAAGTAAAATATCTATCACGTAGTTCAATAAACATATCGCAAATAAATGAAAACATCGATATTTTGAGGTCGTTTCGAGATGTCTTCGTGTTTTCTTTATCTCCGTTATATGTTCCTTATAATTCTGTTTTCCAGAACAATTGTGTTCTGTGGCATACAACAGCAGTTTCATAGATGGAGTCTAATACCCAGCAAAGTGCTGCCTAAATACACATTTCAACCCAGTTGTTCTTATAAGACTCCTATCTCACTCTACTTTTCAGATTCTTGCCTCCAGTGGTGTCTGGTGCGTGTTTTACTTCCTTGGAGCTATCTTTTTCTGCTCGTTTTATCTTCTTAATCTTGTGCTGGCTGTGGTAGCTTTATCTTACGAACTGGAAATCAAATCTGTCCACAAAGTGGTAATTAATATAACAGTCGCTCTACTATGTTTTTTTACCTCGCAATAATTTATTGTTAAATAGCACTGATTGCCTGTGTAATCTGTACGTGTTGCCGCCAACAGCTTTATGGCTAGACTAGATTGTTTCCAAATTGGAAAAAAAATCAAGTCTCTTTGTTTTTTGTTCATGCATTTCGTTTATTGTTTTTTTTCTGAAAATGTGGTCCGTAGGCCATGGCAATATTCAAACGAACAAACAAACAAATAAACAAACTTAAACAAGAAAAAACAAACAAACAAACAAACAAAAAACAAGTAGAATGACATCAAAAGCAATGATTGCAATTGTAGTTGAACGTATCGGAGATTTAGTGAAATGCAGATGCCATCATTATTCATGGCAACAGTTAATGTCTTCCTTCATTACTTTCTTCTTCCTTCTAAGAACGAGAGACTGAAACGTGAAAACAGAACTGCCATGTCATATCCTGCAGACTCGGAAACACTGGAACATCTCCATCCACTGACCACAAGACTGCAAGTTCTCATCAAAACGATTCATTCTATAAGGACTCAGAAAAAGATTGAAGAAATCACCTACAGAGTTCCAAAAGAATCAGAGCCTCCGTCCCTGTATCGCCTCATCGCGAGCAAAAATTCATTCAAAGAAATCCTCGATGAGAAACTAAAGAATGAGACGTTTCGAACAGAAATGACGTGGACGAGACGTTTACAAAGGATGATGTGTGATGTCATGGGCCACCCCGCTGTGGAGTTTACTATTATGGGGTTCATTCTCGCAAATACGGTGGTTCTTGCTCTGCATCACCATCAAATCGACACGCAATTTAAGAAAGTCCTTGATGTTCTTAATCTGGTACTTGATTACGAATTGCTTTGCCATAGAATGTTGATAGTGATGGCGCCCTGAAAATAGCAATCCTTCATTTCTTAGTATGAGACTTCCACCCCGTAGTATTTATCCTTTACCACAATATCTTTCCTCGATCGAGCCAACTTAAAATGTCGACCTCTCTCCTTATACAGCGTAGTAGTAGTCCCATATCTGAAAGTATCGATCCTACCCTTCAGTGCGAAGTACTATCTTCAGCCCTAAAGAATTCGGTCCTCCATCTCAAACTCACCATCAATCAACGAAAGTGACGATCTCTGAAGAACAGTTAGGAAACACTAGAAAGAAATTATATAATATGTTGAATTCTCTCACTTTCACTGGTTCGTACCTGTGGTCTATTGGAAGACAGACGCATAGATGACATCATTTCCTTTTTTTGTTGTTTCTCTATAAGTAGATTTACAAGTAGATTCCATGTTGCCGTGTGTCTGTTCAGTAACAGATCACAGAAGATATCAAAATGTGATAAGAACATCATCAGTGACACCCTCGTCCACCGGCTAGCGCTCGTGTTCCACTTCTGTTGTTGTTACCACAGTCTGAACAGAGGCACGGGAACATGGAATCTATTTGTTGATTAAATAACGCTCACCAAAGTTCGTGTTTTCCACATTTTTAATGTTTTCTCAAAGAACCATCGTGTTTCATGAATTACCTTTTGCCTATAGTTTGTTGGTAAAGAGAAAAGCACTTGTTATAAGAGGCACCATTGCTCATACCATTACTTTGTCCTCGCTGCGGAAGGAATATAGCTCATTCTGTTCTATCGGGCAAGGAGCGTCGTAAATTTTCTTCTTACCTCACAGATTGAACAACATCCCGTAATATCTGGCGCATACACATTTACTTTGAATTTCTTCGTTGACAGATGTTTACCGTCATATTTACCGTGGAGATGATACTGAAACTTGTTGCCCTCGGCCCAATGTATTACATCCAAGGCAGATGGAACATTTTTGATGGTATCATTGTCGTTATCAGCTTAGTGGACACGGGGCTTGAACTCGCGGACTTTCGAGAATCCTCCGGGACTAGTGTTTTCAGGACATTTCGTTTGGTAAGAGCTTACAGTGTTTGAGAAAATGACACCACAAGTTAGAACTAACTAAAGTTAGTCCGGCAGTCAGTCAATCGGTTGGTCATTCGGTCTGTCGCTTGTCAGTCAGTGAGTTATTCCGGCAGTCAGTCAGTCGCTCAGTTGGTCAGTCGGTCGGTCAGTCGTTCCGTTAGTCATTCATTGGCTGGTGCAAATGTTAGAGCGTTTACACCAGCAGAATAGGTTTAAATCTCTTTAAGCCTGATTCCTTCGGTATTTCCCTGCAATTGCAGCACTTCGAGGATCTCTTTCTAATATTTTTTACCTGCTTTACAGTTACAAGATTCATTTCGTGTTCCCTATCACAGTACACAATCAGCCATTAAGCTTCTGGTTCACGAGAATTATGGAAACAATTATCAAAAGAAATTGTACGGCTTACTACTTCAAACGTTAGGATTCATCACCAGTTTTTACATGAGATGTATTTATCACTTGTGTTTTGTTTACTTCTTCCTAATTACCTTACAGTTCAGAATTCTTAAACTGGCTCAGTCGTGGGAGACGATGCGTAGACTGTTAGCAACAATCTCCAACAGCGTTGGACCAATCGGGAACATCACCCTCATCCTGGGTCTTGTGATTTACATCTTTGCGTTGATGGGTATGAAAATGTTTGGCAAACATTACACTCCTGACAAGTTTGGGGAGGACGGTGTACCTCGCTGGAACTTTAATGACTTTTGGCACGCGTTCATGATGGTGTTCAGAGTGCTGTGTGGAGAGTGGATCGAGCCTCTCTGGGATTGCATGAGGGCCACCAGTCCTGCTGCTGCGATTCCTTTCTTCATTCCAGCTGTCGTCATAGGCAATTTTATTGTGAGTTGTATGCATTAAATATCAAAGGCTATAGTTTGGTGCTGGTCATGCTCTGTTAGTAAAAACCATTTTTTTTAGTTTGGTTTAAAAAAAAACAGAAAAATTCAGTTTGGTTGTTCAGCTTTCCGTTTCAACTCAAACGGTTGCAATTTATTTTCCCAATAACACGTTTCACTTAAGAAACATTGTAAAGGTAGATCAAAGTTAACCAATTCCATAACCAAATCAATCAAAGAAATCTACAGAATGCAACACGAAAAACGTATCCTTTTCAGCTAGAAGTTAAAAGTGGTGTTGTAGACTACAATCTAGAACAGTTTTCAACTACCAAAAACGGTTGCGAGAGATTGTTCTATTGCGAAACTTTAGCCAAATCAACGAAAACCGATTGCGATATTGGCTTATCTTATTTGGCTGACACGCAGTCATGTTAAAAAAAAAAAAAAACATAACCTGTCTTTTGTGCACAGGTACTTAATCTATTCCTTGCTCTTCTGTTGAACGCTTTTGATAACGGTGACGACGAAGAGGAAAACGAGGATGAAAACGACAAAGACAGCGAGGGTGAAGAAAGTTTTTTCAAACGAGCTCTAAGCAAGTTAACGCAGACAAAAACCACATCAGTGTACCCTGTCCATGAATACCCCTTAGCTGATGGCAGCTGTAATTCCTCTCAAGAAATACAAACAACCACGAGAAAGCAGAATATGGGAAAGGAATACTCAAACGTTGGTAAGCGTATGCTGTATTGGACAAATCTTTTTTATTGATGGTATTGGGGTCGTAGTTGCAAAACGTGCTATGGGTACTTTCCATTTAACTCACAAAAAAATCCGGGCTGCATTTTCTGGAAATTTCTAATAGCGAATGGTACGGCAGATCTTCCAGATCTTCGGGAACGTGTACTAACTCGCGAGGTATACCCGAATTGATGTTCAGGAAAGAAAAAAACTACAGGAGTTTCCATACCATTTGATATTGCTCCCAGAATTTGTGGAATTCTAGTTTAAATAATTAGCTTATGATTCGCATTTAAAGTAAACTTTTTCAAAATATATCCGTACTAATCACTCCCGTTTTGAACGTTCTGGAACTTTATATCGTATATAAAACATCCTTCCAACGATTATCGAGAGAATAAAAAAGAATTAAGATCTATTTACTACAATTCTTTATCGTTCATGAGGCGTATATTTTGTTATTCAGCTAACACCGTGTCCCGTGTATCAAGCCCAAACTTGCAAGGCAAAGCACCAGTGCAAAACGCAGAAGTAAAGGACTGTTTCCCAGAGTGCTGTGTTTCACCTCTCACTAGTTGTGCAGTGTGCAAAAATATCAGCTGCAACAGCTGGCTGAAGTTTCGCTGGCGCACCCGGATGCTTGTGGAGCATAGATACTTTGAATGGTTCATTCTCTTCACGGTGCTCATAAGCAGTTTAGTTCTGGTAAGATTTCCTTTTTTTTGTTTTTTTCTAAAATCTCATTTTTGGTATGGCACTGTGGTTTCGTGTCCGTTCGATCCCTAGTCGGTAACATTGCGTTGTGTTCTGTCAGTTCCCAGAGAAAACTGGAGCATAATGCAACAGAAAACTGGAGCATAATGCAACAGACTAGCAAAAACTGCATCCAGGTAGCTACAAATGTGAGGCGCCAATCCCCTAAGTTTGAATGCTATCTATCCTTGCCTTTATACTCGTGCTTTGGCCGGAGACATTGTGTTGTGTTCTTCAGCCACACAATTTAATCATACTCTGCTTCTCTCCTGCCTGAAATAACCCGGCGATGGATTATCGTCGCATTTAGGCTGAAGTAAAGTACTCCTAGGAAACTTCGTGTTACGGAAACAAAGTTAACTGTCACTTGTGACCTCAAATCTCGCAAAGGACTTACTTTGCTTTAACTTTCAAGTGGTAAGGCAAAGAACTAGTTAACAATATGCAAGCCAATCTGGCTACAAACCCTGGCTACCCAAACCTAGTCTCGATCAACGCATGTTTTCCCTTTGTCGTACACTAAAAGTTACATGACAGGATGCGAGTCAACAAAATGATTCTGCACGTTGAAAGTGTTGCAATTTCGTGATATGATTTTATTTTGTTTTTCCTTTTTCAAGGTGTTTGAAGACGTGCATCTCTCAAGCAAGCCGAAGCTGGAAAAAGCTCTGGAAGACTTAAATTACTTTTTTGCGTTTATATTTGCTCTCGAATTTGTTCTAAAAATAATAGGATTGGGCGTGGTCGGTTATTTTTCGTCTTTTTGGAATTGCCTTGATTCATTAATAGTTGCGGTAAGTGTCCTCTTGGCTTAGTTTGAACAGTCATCATCAGTGTTGACCCCAGCGTTATCGCGGGCGAACGACATAAGTAAATTCTGCACATGATATGAATGGCCGCCCATAATAGCGGAAGACTCCCAAACAATTCCCAGCTTGCTCGTTCAGGATTAGCCACTGGATATTCCTCTCTCTGGTTTAAATTCCTTTGAACTTTGGATCGTGGGATCGGGGCTGGAGCCTTGACCGGGGACTCTCTCTTGCTGTGCCTCTTCACACCGAGGATTTACGAGGGCAAAGGTGACCCTTTAAGACAGCCTGAAAATACAACAACAACAACAACAACAACAACAACAACTATGTAGAGTCAAAACAACATGCGATTTTCCTATGGTTGCTTTTATCACTGGGTTTTGAAGTTTGTGTGGTTGGGAAAATTAGTTCAGATTTCACGACTGCGATACGGAAATATATTTATAAGTAGCTGTCTAAATGATTTTGAGGCAATTTTTTAAAGCAAGTAGCATCATGCAACTCGTACAGTTAAATTTTGATGATCTGAATCGATTTAACCTCTCTTGCTTTCATGTTCTGATCTGTTGTATGGGTTCTGTCTTCTCATTTCTTAGATTTCTCTGGTTTGTGTGTTTGAAGATCAAACCTTGGCGTCCTTACGCTCTCTGCGGACAGTAAGAGCTTTGAGGCCCCTAAGAGCAGTTTCTCGACTGGAGGGGATGAAGGTAAAGTTCTGTAGCACGTAGGGTTTGGGCTCGCTGCGCCGGGACGTCGTTCGCTAATTGTTCAACTTTTTTACCAGGTTGTCGTGAACGCGCTTTTTTCCGCTATACCTGGAATAGGCAACGTGCTCCTAGTATCTCTCCTGTTTTGGTTGATATTCAGTATCCTAGGAGTACAGCTTTTCGCGGGAAAATTCTACAAGTGCCAGGACTTGGACGGCGAACGTGTTCCGGCAGACATCGTACCAAACAAGGACGCATGCCTGGAGCACCCTGACAAATATCGATGGGTAAACTCAAATGTCAACTTTGATAACGTCATCAACGGTTTTCTCGCCTTGTTTCAAGTGGTAAGCACTTTTTATTAATACAATGGTTTCCCGGTCTACATCAAGCTCCTACCTATTTTCCCAAGTTGATGGTCACCGGGAAGCCTTGACACCCGAGAACCAAAACGGATCTTACTTGCCGTGGTCGTTAATCTTTCAAGCCCGGATGTCCACATGCAAAACCTTAAAATAAATGCGCAAGCCAGAGACATGAAAGATGCCCGGTACATAAAGATGAGATGTTGAACAAATACAAATTTCTCGGAGAAGAGACAAATTGCACATCAAGATGAGTCAAAAGTTTTAAAGCTACTCATTCTCATTCGCCGCGTTAGAAAAGGGAAGATACTCGTCTGGCAGGCGCCTGAGGGGCCGTTACTGGGGAAGATAGTATTTTCTCAACTTTTATTTTTGTCCTAGTCATGGTCCTAAGATCGACTGGCTCATTTACTGAACTGCTACCAATTTTTGTTTAATTGCAGGCTACGTTCGAGGGCTGGATGGAGCTTATGGACGATGCAGTGGATTCTAAGGAGGTTATTGTTGACTTCAAATAATTTTTTTCAACGGACAAATTTTACGCCCTAAGTCCGATATTCTCTTGACAGCTCTTGCAGGTCCGTTGCTTAGCAACATCTCTCATGGAGATCGCGGGGATAGTCAGCTGATTTACCTCAAGCTATTTCTAAAATAGCCTCTTTACCGTGGACCAAGTTCTATTTCTTAGCGTATTTTCATTATTGATCATGCCTACATCTGTAGATTAACAACAAGAGAATTTCTCTATTATTGTTACCACACAGAGCATGGAATAAACTTAATTTACGCTTTATTCGTTATTTATTTCGCGCTATTTCGTTATTTCAGGTGGATGAGCAGCCAGCTGATGAAAGTTACCTCGGCGCTTACATTTTCTTTGTCGTCTTCATCATCATTGGCGCGTTCTTTGTGCTCAATTTGTTCGTTGGAGTCATTATCGACAACTTCAACAGTTTAAAGAGAAGGGTAAGTTCTTTTCTAGTTGATATCGTTACTTTCCAGTTCGATAAAAATTCATCAATGAACTTGAAGAAAGTTGTTAATAAGTTACATAATACTTGAGTACACATGTTGAGAGAACTGGTTCCAAAAATTCTTCGCTGTCATCACCTACTGGTCAGTTCAGTACATCGTCAAGTTTCTAAATGTCAGACTTTCTTCCGAGCTCATGTTTGTTGGGATTCTGCTCTCTTTAGTGAGATCATTCTACTGCGTTCTTCGGGAAGGCACTTAAGCTTAATCTTGAGCATGGCTTCGAAAAGTCAAAACCCCAAATATATGGAAACGAGGATAAAAAAAGAAAACGCTCTAACTTTGTCGAAAATTACTATGTGAGTGCATTGAAGTTATAAAAGTGGTGTTATAAAGAGTTACCTAAAAATATTCTTTCCGGAACTTCAATGAGTATGTTTTCTTAGTACGACGAGCTTAGCTGCATGGGGATGTTGCTGACAGACGCCCAAAGGAAATGGGTTGATATCCTAAAAGAGTCTGCCAAGAAGAAACCTCCAGACCATTCCATCAGGCCAAAGGTTCGTTCACTGTTTGTAGATCGTGTTAATAACTCTTATAGTGACTCTGGAAATTTCTTAGCCCTGCTTTCCCTCCAAACGCAAGTATCAAGGACCAAATCTAAATGAGCTGAGCGGGATATCGATAAAGTCAGTTACACAAGCTGTTAGGAGAAAATCCCGCGCTCTTCCGACTGGAGTAAAAGCCGCGACCTTCCGCACACCTGCCAGATGCTGTGCCACTGAGCTGCACTCTGCGACTCTTGGTTGCTAGGTGATATAGCCTGGCTCGAAAGTGACAAATGTCCCGCATACTGCTAGAATTANTAAAGTCAGTGACACAAGCTGTTAGGAGAAAATCCCGAGCTCTTCCGACAGGAGTAAAAGCCACGACCTTCCGCACACCTGTCAGATGCTATGCCACTGAGCTGCACTCTGAGACTCTTGGGTGCTAGGTGATATAGCTTGGCTCAAATGTGACAAATGTCCCGCATACTGCTAGATTTAGTAATGATATCAGAAAAATGTCAATGCCTTATTGACATTTTTCTGATATCTCTACAAAGCTTAAAATATGACATATCGTCCCTCAACTAGAGACATCTTCGGGCAAGAGTCGAACCTCTCCGTCAAACGCGGTTAGTGCTGTCAAACAAGTAGACGATCGACTGATATTTTATACTATTATTTTAGGCTACAAAGAAAAGAATGTTATGAAAATATTAATTACGCCCTTCTCCTCCTACAGAATAAGGTTTTGAATGTTCTGTACGAGATGGTGACGAATGACATATTCGAGATGGCCATCCTTGGGATCATTGTCTTGAACATGGTAGTAATGATGTGGCAGCATTATGGCCAATCACAGATGATGACGAACGCACTTCATATCCTTTGCCAACTTTGAACTTTGACAAATGTATTTGAAGTGCACGTAACCTAAACAAATTGTTCTGACTACTGACTGGATTTTTAAAATTATATCTAGTATTCCTAGGCAATTTTTTTTTTTTTTTAAAAAAAGAAAGCTTTGCCATTTTTGTCACGACCGAGAGTAATCTGACCGAATGGGTAGAGCAAACCACTGTACTCTTTGCAGTGTAATTTTGAGAGGATAGAGGATTTTGCTGAAGATTAGGTTAATAGCTTTATTTCAGGATTTGAATTGCGCAATTTTGATAGGTAGTTTTGATTAGTGGCGGGGTGAGTGGGTCGAGTCTGGGAGCTCCGAATTTCCTTTTTTGATAAATACCAGGGGTCCTAACGCTAACACTAGTCCCTACGAAATCGCGAGAATCGAGGAAATGATCACCCAAGTGAAACTCTCCAAATTTATAGGATATGAACTGTCACAGTTATGAATTTCTGTAGCTGATACCAGGTCTAAATTTAAAGCTGACAAATTTCCTTAACAAGACCTGTGACATGCTGTCCAGGAAACACAAGTCTTCAATTGGATTTTCACCGCAGTCTTCATCATGGAAGCTGGAGTTAAGCTTGCCGCCTTACGACAGCATTACTTCTCAAAGGCGTGGAATGTGTTTGATTTCGTCATCGTGATCACTTCAATTATCGGTAAGTGTAAGAACTGACTGTGCACATGTAGAGAATAAAACCAAGAAGACAAAAGTGTGTCCGATTTGAATTTTAAGCAGTTGTCCACTCTTCAATAGTTATTTTCAACTAGCGCAAACATCAAGCTGCGCAGTCGCCAGAATGTCCACGATAGCTGCGGATAACGGGCAGACATTTTCTGGTGAATTTTACCGGTGACCCATTACCTTTCTAACCGTATTCATCAATCTTGGCTTTCCCCTTCTCCCTCCAAATTTCTAAGGGAAAAGATATGGGAACGAGGTTGTGTATGAACAACTTAATAGTTGTTCTTGCGCCAAGAACCTGATCAATTAGGAGAAATGATCAAGTTTTACCGTAAGAAAAGAAAAGTATACTTCCAGTTTTGCGAACTTTTTCTTCATCAAGGCAATTTTCGCTGTCGAAAAACGTTAGAACAGAAATAGTGGCTAGCTCGCTTCGCCGTGGGTAACTTTGCCACTCCCCCCCAAATAACTTAACTCCAAATCCTTTTGCTCTGACTAAGAGCTGATGATCGACAAGTCGGTTTTCTACGCATACTTGTTTAGAGTTTACGTGCTTCATACTTGTGTTTCGTAGTGGTTATCATATGGCTTTCGTAGATGAGACATTGATGGAATAAAGGAGACATTTTTTGAAATGTTACGAAAAGTGGATTTAGTCGTTTTCTTTTCCTGAATTTGGTCCATTTGAGGGA